CTGCAGACGATGTGGATAGGCGGTTTAGGTCTTGCTGAAGTAGGCCACAGTCATCAGCAGCGCCACTTTGTCTCCAAATCTTCATGTCGTCCGCAAACAAGGCACACGACGACCGGAGAAGCTGAGGTAGATCGTTGATGTGGATCGGGAACAGAGTGGGCCCCAGCACAGTGCCTTGAGGCACACCACTTGTAGAGGGGTACCAGTCAGTTAGATGGTCGTCGACCTGTACCCTCCACTTTCGTCCAACAAGAAAGTCGCGGATCCACCGGTGCAGTGAGCCACCGACACCACACATGCTGAGTTTGTGAAGGAGAACCTCATGGCTGTCCTTGTCGAACGCTTTACTGAAATCGATGAATATCACGTCGACGGATTTCCCCTTGTTTATTGCCTTCAACCACTCATTCCTCGGCACAAGCAAGTTCGTATTACATGAGCGGCCTTGCATAAAACCGTGCTGTGCGGGCGTCAGGACCTCGTTTGACTGTAGAAACTGAAGCAATCCCTTGCCAAAATAGCTGTCAGACAAATTGGCCTGTAGTTATCTACTTTTCTAGGGTCGCCGCCTTTCAGAATAGGCTTCACCACCGAACATTCCCAATCAACCGGCAACGAACCTTCGGACAGCGACCTGTTGAAAAGGTCAGTCACGACAGGAGAGAGGATGGTCAAAAGTGACTTGAGAACCAGTGGGTGAAGCCCATCAGGTCCGGCAGGTTTGGTGCCGTCAAGGTTGGCGCGTAGTTGACCTATCTCTTTAACGCTGCAATCCAGACTGTCGTGTTCGGTAAAAGCGGTACACGTCGAACTCGGAACAGACACCTGGTTATTCGCAAATACAGAAGCGAAGTGCGCCGCCAACGCGGACGCACGCTCAGTTCTTGAGGTTAGGGGCTGCCCATCCGGGCCATCCAGCACTGGCACATCACCTGACGGCTTCAGGCGTCGCTTCACGTATGCAAAGATTCTCTTGGGGCGGTCTTCGCGGCTAATGCGAGCTGCTCTTCAAAGTGTCGGCGTTTCTTCTATTTTGCACTGTTGCAGAGGTTCCGCTGACATTTATACCCTTTGTAATCTTTGGCAGAGCCAGAGAGGAGGAATTTGTCCCACAGTCTGCGCCGCCTCCGAGCCAGGTTTCCATACTCCTTGTCAAACCAATGAGGCTTAATCGATCCCACCTTCCGACATTTCAATGGCACAAATTGGGAACACAATGATGTCAATCTCTCTTTTATAAATATCCAACAATCTTCCACAGATGCCGCTTGTGGCAGACACCAATCCATTTGGCTCGCGGCTCGAGCTAGACTATCGAAGTCCGTTTTCCAGTAGTTGGGAGGTGGTTCCAGCGGACGTGAATACGGCAAAGATAATTCCGTATCAGCTATGAGCACTGAATGGTCGCTTGTAGCCAGGGGCTCCAAGATCCTAACATCACGCACTCGTTGTTCGTAGCTCGTTAACATCAGGTCGAGACAGGACGGGGTTGAACGTGTCGTTATGCGTGTTGGCTGGCATATGTGTTGCGATACACCAGTTTCAAGTACCAAATCCACGAACTTTGCTTCCACCTCACTATTTCCGGGCATCAAATGCACATCAGGCCATCATATTCGAGGACAGTTAAAATCGCCAAACACTGCACAACCACGACGCGTTTCGATGCAATTTCATCTCAGGTGGAGACAACAGGCCTCGATCCCGCGACTGTCGGAATAGTAGCCGAAACCTCTACCCCTTTGGCTGTGACGGCCAAGTAGTTTGCTGGAGAATAGCCGTTGAAATGGCCAGACAGTGTCGCCAAGGTGCGATGCACTGATTCCCTTGTGCGAACTTATACTACACAACTGGGTATCGGATACGAATTCAGTTGATGCGTGTCAGTTGCGCTTACGTTCGGTCTGCGCCTGTCCGCCCATGCATGTGTGTGTACAGATTAGCCGATGGCTTCTACCGACAGCGCGGCCGCAGTATCTCATTTGATTCAGGGATCAGAAATTCGGTTTACTGCATCCACTGTGACGGTAAGCGACGCCTGCGGTAATAAAGCAGCGTCTACTCGCCTTGTACGGAAATTGCCACATTTGTATTTCTGCCCTAGCCCTCTCAGCAAACCACCGCTCGCAGGCTTGTCACACCGATCCTGGTCATTCGCAGCCGTGCACATCTGTCCGCCTCGCTATCGGGACGCAGTGCCGTCGTATGCCCTAGCGTAGGTAGGTCGTCCAAAACCTTGGGCTGCGCCAGTGCAAATCCAGCCATAAGACCGCTACTGGGGTGTCGCATTACCGTGTTTGCAGCCCCCCCCCCCGCCACTTGTGCCGTTCGCAAGGCATGTCTTTACGTACTGAGTAGTCCACCTATACCCAGTCGCATTAGGTGTTTGGACAATCTTGTGCCCCTAAGCTGCGTGTGACTAGCTTCAGACTTGGCACTGTTGCGGTATCCAGGTTAGGCTGCCTATGCGTCAACACCACACACCACCAACTCATAAATTTTTGCATGGGTTATTAAGTCTACGGTCCTTGGCTGTTTTGGGCTAGCTCAATTCCAAGGTCACGGCGCGCAGTAGGTGCGTAGAAATGATACCGGATGCAACTCGTCTGCACTACTGAGTATGTTCAATTGGCTTGAAGATGCAAATCAGTCTTAGGGAGCAATTCAGTTGCACTATGGATGCAATCAATCGAGAAATGCTTTAGTGGTCACACTGAAGGCGAACTATGGTTGTGTGTGATATGCTGTCTGGCGGTTGGCTCTTTGGGACTACGCTTACCTGCCTGCTGAAGTCCAAGCACTTACACGCTAGTCGTGTTGTGTTCCACACATTCCTGTTGACGTTATGTTAGGTTTCAGCAGTTCAGCGGCACATCGTGCTGATGCTTCGTTATCATTTAATCGCCTGATATTGCTCACGGGCTGCGATGTTTTCAGGTTGCCCACACCTAGATGGATTGATCTGATTCCTCCGCATATGGTATCTTCTTATACCTTGTCTAATTGAATGATATCTCAATGCGGCCGACATACAATCTCGGAGACCGAGTCTTGTTGGTGTATGCTGCACCTCTTGACATGAGTCTGGGAGGTGGTGCAGTCGCACTCGCAGTGACACTGCTGTAGTCGTTCTCACCTCCGACTCCTTCAGCTGTTTATTTTAATGTGTTGTCTCTTTGCCCACTCTTGTGGCCTGTTATTTGTATGCATACATGAGTCATACCAACTGGATACACCACACCTCGTTCCACTTCGCTTTTAGCGAGTCGTATTGGTCCGGACTCAGACAATCCATCATCCCGGCTTGTGTCTGACTATCGCCTGTAGTTGTGTGATCGGCTATCGCTTCTGCGCGCATCTTGCATCGACCGTTTGTTATGGGGGCTTCGACACTGCAGCTGTCTTCGGCAGTCACAGTCATACCTCATCCTGCAGATTCCGTTACTTCCTGATGGCAAGCTTGCATCTGCTCTGTTTGCCTTTTCATTCCAACATCTTTGTTTCTATTCTTTTGCATAGTTCTGTTTGTAATGTAGTTTACCTTACATTGCTTATATTTTCTGTTGATGTCATGGCGATTGAATGCACTACACTTCGTTTTTCTTTTCATCCTTTGTTACTTGAACTGAAATGAGCAACTAGTCTAAACAACAACAGAGCTGACCGTGGGTTATTGTTGACACAATATACCGCCTCAGTCACGGTCCATGTGATTGAAACGACCGTAGGTTACTACGAAGAATATCGCGATCGAATTTCAACTGCATGTCACAGTCGAAACACTACGGATAATACGACCCATATAGTAACAGAACATCTTCACCACATTTATTTTCCAAGGTTGTTTCGGGGCCTTTTCCGTCTACTGGTTTGATTTTCACTGAGCCACTGTTCTCTCCAGCCAGACCGGTTTTTCTCGATCAATGTCGCTTTTTGATTGGCTATCTTCTATTTCATGCTATTGGATACCAGTCCACATTGCATGACACCCCATAACTTGTCTGCACTACACTCACATTAACTATACCACAGGAAAATGTTTGCTTTTTTGAAGGGATATTTCTGAATACTTAATCGTTCAGCTCTGTTTTTGATGCTGTTTTCAATTCCTGGTTAGTATTGGGTCTTTTTATTAGGCTGGCGTAATACTTGGTCGAGATGATTACGTCGTCACTTCGGTATCTTTTCTTCTTCAGTTGACCATTCTTTCTTCGGTCAGTGTATTCGAATCCGGAGCTGTGTGACCATTCATTTGCTATACTGTACGGCGCGTTTGTTACACCAGTGCTTTTAAAGAAATATCTGTTTTATGTAAACATTATAGTGTTGCTCACCCCAACACTGGCACCCCAAGACCGCGGTTTTGTCCTGGTTGGGACTCATCAGTTGGAGATAACCTGAGTTGGGCTGGAACTCAGAGCCTAGTGGCTCATGGTTGACGCTATAAGCACTATGCCACTGAGATCTATTTTGTGGTACGAAATGTATCCATCACTCACATTGTATTGCGTTGGTCGTTGTGCGTTCATTTTGTCCATTTATTTGGTTTTCTATATTTGTTGCCTTTCTGCCACATACTATGTTAGGATATCCCACCCAGCTAGTCCACTATGTTTTTGCGGGTCAAGCTATACTCGTCTTACCGTATAGCGCTCGAATTGAGATTGCGTTTCAAACAAGGTCAATACACATCCGTTTGTGTTATTCTCGAGCTTTATTGAGGCTTACTCGCCTTCACCTCACGGAACTTATTGACTCTTTGCTTGAGTATCACAGCTATAGATCGCCTCTCACCCATTCACCTCTGAGCACTAGTAGCTGTCATAATTTGTCATTTTACCGTTGGCCTTTTCGCACTTTGGCTTTTGGGTTTATTTGCTATGTTCCAGTGAGCCCATTCTGTAGGTCAATCTGTTGGTGCTACTTGAAATATGATTAGCATTCGTTGTTCATCTCCGGTTTTGCGGTGCCTTATCTACTATCTATCCCACTTTTTACAGTTGCGAAGCGCTTGGAGAAGGTGTCAGACTGCCGCGACTACTCCGTCTCACCGACATTCGACCCGTAAGTAAAAACCTGGTTCATCCAACCTGATCGTTCACTTGTAGACCTCTTCAGGAAATACTGACCGAGAAGGATACGTTTTCCCACGAGGTTCGTTCACTTTAGGCTTTTTAAACGGCATGGATGGTGCGCCGTCCCCGTGTCTTTTTCTGTCACTAATCACATTGAAACTTATGTTCGTTGTTTATTTTTCCAACTACAAATCGCTTGACCTCGTTGAATATACGGAAAAGCCGATATCGTCTTTCGCACAGCCCGTTTTCCAAACCTTTGCTGCATTCGATAATCTGTTTCTGCCATGATCAAAACTTTTAAATAATTATGCACAATCCTAATCATAGCTGCGTAGCGTCCCTATTCCGTGCTTTTTGGATCGGATCTCCTTTCAGATTTTAATTCATTGCCAGTTACTTTCTGGAGTATCGAAGACACAATCAGATGTGGTGTTGGTTCGCCACTTTTATTCCCTCCTTTCCTAACCGACTCTACAAAAGTCTAGTAAGAAACTCTGCTTGGATGTGCCTTCAGATCGTTACTGAAGCAAGCCAAGCTCCTTGTTTGTGCTTACCTGATGTGCCCCTTCGACGCAAGTAGACACATCACACCGATACCCACTTCCAATAATCACTGACAAGGACAGTTCATTTCACCGACGGACTTGTCGACAATTATTTCGTCATTCGGCACTCAAGTGTGCTCATGCACGTTTTATAGTACATTTTACCACTCAGTTTTAGTCAATGATCTTTATTTATTGGTACCAGTTTGCTTCCCTACTACTCTTCAGCATCACATTGATCTACAAATCAATTCTGCTGTCCATTAGCTTGGTTTGGTAATCCATCTGAAGAGTTTTTCTTTTGCTCCCGCTTTGATCGTTTTGTTGGTTTGCTCAGACCACTTTTCTATCCACTCCGCTTACTTCGGAAGAACACAACAATGGGAAACTGAAGCTAAGCCGTGGGTGCATCGTGGATAGCGAGCAAAGGCACTATCACAGTTCCCTTTTTCGTTCCTCATTTGTCATTGAGGTAATACTTTTAGCAATCTCTCATTCTTTCGGTTAATTGACCCCAGAGACCACTCTGCTGTCCATCATACTCGTCGCCACTTCACCGACAAGCGTCAGATGGAACGACTTTCCAGACAGTTATGCTTAAATTACTCACTGATCCATGCTGACTGTTGCGTGGTGATGGATACCTCTAACAACCCATTGTTTTTCTTGCATATGCTCTCTTTTTTCTCAAAAGGCATTTTTGAGTAGGCATTTTGGTAGACATTTTGCTCCTAACGATGTGTGATTTCTCTGTAATTCAAACGCTGAATTCAATCCTTTACCGATCAATCGAATTGCTTTGGCCAGTGATGGGGATGAGAAATTTCCGTTCGAGCTGGTCTTTCGGTTCACTCCATTGTACTTCTTGGTGTCGTGTTTTGTCGACTGATCCACTTGTTACTGACTCGGGCCCCAGTGGGTAGACATGCTGTGCCGAGCCCTTAACGAGCTCGATTCCCTGCAAATTACTGGACTGGTATGGACGCCATACCTTAGCATGATTTTGGGCTGATATCCAAAGCACTAGGATGGTAAACTGTTGGCCGCGCAGATGACACTGCATGCTGCACCTTTTCATAATGCAGTTTTGGCGATACAATTGCCATCGTCCACTGCGTCTATCCACGGTATCATGTACATTGCTCGGATTGTGAGGTTCTCTATACGGATTATGGAGCATGTTCCGCTAGGTCTAGCGATGAGCAGCCCTTAGCTACCTGCCAGCTCTATTGCTCGTCATCTACTTGATTATAAATCGTGTCGAGACCCCACGCAACTCGTTCAAGGTCATCAGTAGGCCGAACAGTCCAGCACTGTTCCGGCTTTCCGAGGCTTCCGCAATCCGGCGGTAGCAGCCCAAGCTGTGCAAGCAAGTTGACCTCGTGCCCAGCTTAGCCTTGCCGTGGTATAAGGCATAGGATCAGCCACTGGAAGCTATGACCCCGATCGCCCTAGGTTCAAATGTGTTGACTTATGAATTCCTTGTCACATGCACTCACTAAATCCTCCCACTGTACATTTGTAAATGACTGATTGAGAATACACGAAATAAGTTGAATTCAGTCTATCTCGTGAAATACTAGTTGTTCTTGCTTTGTTAAATTATCCGCGAGGTGTAAAAGGCTTTGTTGTCGCCATTACGCTTTTCATTAGGTTGCTTCTCGTGGTGTACGGTCTATCTGTCTCCGTCTCCTAAACAGTGGTTCTACCAGATGTAGTTAAGATTTAGTTACTTATTAGTTAGCACCCAACATTCACGCTTCAGGCAGTTTTGTGATACTGTGTGAGATTGTCAAGTAACCATCTGTGGCGAATCATCTGCTCACCGAATGGTCATGTGCGGTCGTTACACAGATTAAATCCGCTCTTCCTGGCGGTTGTACCGAAACCGAACTATTCCCACATGCGAGCTACCTCTAAGATAATACTGACTTCCATCTGTGTGCTTATCCATCCAGATTCGCACTTGCATAGATGCTTCAGTTTGCACTTCCTCTATCTCTGATTTTAGAAAAATTCCTCGCTTGATCGCAGCAACTCACGGGGCTTTTTGTCACCGTAAAATGCATTATGGAAACCACTATTATTTTAAAATCTCAGATCAGACGAGTGGCCGCTTCCCATGAAATTCGTCATGTTTGACCGTCGGTGTTGCGCACATCTGGCGGGATCTTCACTTCGTGTTCGGAGAGAAGCCTTCTTATGCCTCATTGTATTGTGTGCTAGGTTTGAGCCGGCTACGTCTGTTTGATCATGTTCGTCTTATGCCCTGTGACCACCTTCGGCGCACATTAAATTCTGCCTCTGTAACTAGTCGGCCGAAATCGCAAGGTAGCCATTTGATGATGTAGTATAAATGCATTACTAACTTGACCGTGGATTTTGTCAAACTGGTGTGTGCTTTGGAGAATATCATTTTCTGCATACACCACATCAATGGCTGGAGGCCTTGTCTGATACGGCGCAGTCGTTCAGCCAGTGTCCTCCTTGCACTTGGTTTTTCTTAGCACCCTGCTGTTAATATTCCGTCCCAATCTGACGCATTTTTCAAACGTCTTTTCCCTACTCTTTTTGAAATCTGCCTCCTTTTCCTCACAAACTCTGACGATTACTATCCTCCTATATGATTTTTTGAAACTTGATCCGCTGCATTTCAGGGTCTGGATTATAGCCGTTTAACAGCATTGACGTTCTCTGATAACTCTTACAGTGGCTAATCAATCAGCACGCATCTGTTACCATCTGTCGTTCATGGGAAAGTCATATCCGCGTTTCCAGCTGCTCTTATGTTCTTCCACAGTTCCTGTGTTCTTGTAACTGACGGATCTCTCAGGAGGAGTGATAGCTTTGTCACCGCTAGACGTTGCATTTGGTGTGCGCCAACTCGCACTGAGGGCCCAGTTGATGATCCAACAAAGATAGGGGTTTTGGGGTCATGCGGACGTAATCTTTTTGTCCTGTCTTTACTAAATGTTGAGTAGATTGTGCTAAATAATATGTACGTTGCAAAAATACACTTACGCTTCGTACCTTTCAGTAAGACTTCGGTTTCCGTACATCCTGGAGTTGTCGACATTGACGATCAACCCTCGGCTTTCCTGTGGCAAACATGCTCGGACACTTCGCCTTACTGACAGCAATGACCTTCCAGCTGAACTGTTGGTTTCGTTGAGTGTTGCTCGCCCACTCGCCCTAATACACTCTGCTATAAACCATTCAGCTTTATTTGCCAATCCACTTTTTCATTGTGTTTGACTCGGCATCTCGGCCACAACAGAAAAATACTTAATGCCTTCATTTTGCTTTGTCATTGAGTGTAGTGTTCAGTTATAGGGCTTCAGGTTACTTACCGAGGTGACTACATTTTCCGTCGCACAAATCCAGCCACCTCAGGGTCCATCAGACACCTGATGAACACTGCTCGTCGTACCTCTCGTGGACACCTGCTTCCATACGGTACCGTGTTATCAACCATGAATGTTTCAGAGTACCTCCCTGTGACACTCTCCATCATTCTCTCTCCAGTTATGACCCATTGCCTCATGTAAATGTGCCCATTTTGCACTGTGTTGTGTTTGACACCGATTTATTTCGATGGACCATTTCCGCTTCTGTTTGTTTAGTTTTTTCTTGCCATACATGGCTTGAATATACTTTTTGCCTTGTTTTTCTATATTAAAAGGAATTCCTGTCATGTTTTGTTTCATTCTTATGCCCTACATTCTATGTTTGTGGCCTCCTCGGCGAGGTCGGCTTTGTCCAGGCCCTCTGCGTGAATTATTACTTCGTACTTTAGTCCTACCTTGCTAGTGAATTAGGGTGTTTGATCCTTCTTCGTCCTCACCATGCGTATTTCAAGTTCGGTCCTCCACGGGCTTTTCTGGTATTTTATTAACCGGGTTTTCTCCTTTGCTTTCACGCTAGGTTCGATGGCTTCACATGCGATTGGTTGCTCTGAGAATTGTTCACTCTTGTGCTGAACTAGTCATGAGTTCGGTCAAGTTCAGTGATCACTTGCTCACTAATGAGGTGGGACTCGAACCCGACGATCGAGCAACGTCGGTTTCCGCACGAGTAGACCAATGCATCGGAGCATTTGCGTTACTTCAACAGGAATCACCGAAGCTGCCTCCCATAAATGACCTCAATGCAACAGAACTGGTAAGTTTATGCTCACTGGATTCATTCTTCGTGTCCCCATCTTAGTGTCGGCTACTAGCTGTGCTCATTGTGCTTTTGTTTGCTGTGGGATGCTGAAGCATCCGGTATGGTTTCGATGCACCAGACGCTGAAGGGAACCTCACCCTTGGATAGCGCATTTATTCGGTTTTCAAGTTATTCTCACTTACATCGATTCGGACCCCGTTGGCATTCACAAAGAGTGTGTTTCCTACCCTTTTGTTGACGTCTACATACCGCTGTGGATGGTAAGCACCTGTTGCTTACGTTTTATTTCGATTCATACACTCTAGTGGCTACGCGCCCCGGTGATTACGACCTTGTCAGTCTTCACTCAGTCCTCACCACCATAAAGCAGCGGAGCACATTCATCCTCAAGAGATATCTACCTTAAGCGTACTGTGAAATTTGTGAACGCGTCTTTTAGCAAACGTACAATCTCATCGTGCAGTTCTCCAAATAGGCGTCATCAGTTTTTCCATACTTAAATAAAATGTGTCGCATTTTATCGTAAACGCTACCTACATCATCCCTTAGCAGTCTTTTGTTTCTTACTTGGGAGATAAAATTAAGTCGAGAGTTACTAGTTGTCCACATCCGAATTACTTATCGAAATAAAACGTACATTGTACCATTAACCGTCTTTTCGGTATCCAATATGCTTGCCCTTGATGTGCTTTCACACCCGTTCAGCACATATCGAGTGCTCAGTTTTAATTGCGATGGCCATTTAGTATCCGTACGCCGGGTTTAAGTACATATAACCGTCTTGTCTGATTTTTTACGTAAGATTGCTGACGACTGTGGTAACGGAAACAGTGTAAAGAAGGGAAAAGTTAAATTCTTTGAAACGTACGGAATACATTGAACTTGTCGCATGAGTCCGTTGCAGATCGGGTAACATTTTTGACCATCGCTTTCGTTGCTAGCCAGTCCCTCTATCCAGAACAACGGTGTGTAGCAGCCAGATTTAATCCTTTTGACAGTTCCTTCAGACATTGTTGACTCTGAAAGAGATGTCGACCAATTTGATGTAGCTGGTCATCTTCTATTGCTATTTCGTGGCATAGTTTGATCAATAGAAAAGACATTTCGTTACGGTATGACAACCTCAATCCTTCATCATGAAGTTGAAATATTATTCATTAGATAGTCATTGTGCGACTTCCATGTACTTTTGATTATAAAGTTCGTTGTAAACGTCGTGCTTCCAGTTTGCGTAGTATTGTAAACCTTTTTTCTGCACTAGTAATGCAGCAAATTCTAATGTACCATCGAATGATCGGAAGAGAAAATTAGGTCCTGCCTATCGACGCATTCTCAACACACACAATTCCACTGCCCTACCGCTGTCGCCCGAGGGACCGGCTCACGCTAACAGACTTGAATTATTCGACTGACTGCTTGTGAGTACAGTTCCCAGACATTGTAGAGGCAAAATATTTGTCATAAAACTCTCATAAATATTTAGTACTTTGCCACCGGAAAATGTTCCTTACTCCAACTGGCGAAAGATTTGTTGCTCTCCATATTTAAGAAGCAACAGGCCACTTCCACGCGGAGCTTTTTTCATCGGTGCTAAAATCAGTATATAGTGCATTACCACGATCAACTACTTCGCTCTTTGACGTTAGCATTTGCTCCAAAGATACATTCGATCAAACAGTAGTTGAGGCGTGTGAAAGGTTAAAACAAGCGATAGTTGGTCAGCTGGAGGCAGATAGTTTTGCTCTAGCACACACTCGAATGTTGCTAGCACAGTATGCAATGATGATTTAACCTTGGTTCGTGATGAGGCGTCTGCAACGAAAAATAAAATTTAAAACAGTTAGTCCCCTTCAGTAGTTTGAACAACGAAATGAGAAGACGAATACTGGCAGATGCTAGCATTTCGTATTATCTCGTCAGTACCAATACAATAACAGGGAAATTCTTTTATATGTCCTCACAGGGCACAGGCAAACCAATCAAATTTATTGTTGTGATCATTGTTATCAGATTAGGTCCACGGCAACCGCAGGTTGACAACTAATTGCTTTTGGACACACAAAGCTGGTCTAATTCGGCTTATCGCGACGGCCTCGTCAACTCGTAAAAGGCGTGCATTAGTATGACGTAACAAGATACGAAAAGCTGATAAGGGATTAACCCGGTGACGCGTCGCCAAGATGTGCCGGCCTATGAAGGACGCTGGCGGCTTACGCGAACACCTATCTTCGGAGTTGGATTGGGTAACTTCACGCTGAACCCAGTTTGGTAGGTGTTCCTTCACTCGGGAATCTAAAACCGTTCGGTCCTGCCGATGTAACTGATACCGCAGTCACACACGAATTGGTAGACACAATGGGATTTGGCGCCGACGGGTTCATCTTCCTTTACTGAAGGTAACGGCAACTTTCGGGTTCTGTTGATAATTACCGCCTCCGCAGCACAGTATGTACGCTGAATGGCCGAGACAATCCGTTTGGTTATTCTTTTCGTTGCATTGTCACCCTTGAATGGGAGTTCAATGTACACCTTCTTCTTAGGGGCTGTCAACACCATCTCCTTGGGCGGTCTAACTTGGCTATGTTTGTCTATGAATCGCTTTGGGTAGCCGTTCTCCATAAGTGTCTTAGTGATCAGCTCTAACTCTTCAGCCAGGCAGTCGTTGGAGCAGATACGTCTGGCCCGAGTGAATAATGTTTTTACCAGCGCGCGCTTGCGTGCCATCGGTGAGAAGCTAGTGAAGTGTAGATATTGGTCGGACCGCGTTGGCTTCCGGTATACAGATCGCTTAATCAGCCCATTATCGCTGCGACTCATGAGAACGTGAGGTACGGAAGGCGCCCATTCGATTCGAATTCAAAAGTCACATTCAGGTTGTCGTGAACATTATTAAGTTGATCTACTAGTTGTTCGATTTGCATCTTTGTGGAACCGAAAACAAGGATATCATCTACGTATCGTTTGTAATACGGCAGCTGAGAAATCTGTCCACTTATTTTCCTCTCAAGCATCAGCATGAAAAAATCAGCCAGTACGGGTCCCAACGGAACACCTACCAACCTGGGTTCAGCGTGAAGTTACCCAATCCACCTCCGATGATACGTGTTCGCGTAAGCCACCGGCGTCCTCCATAGGCAGGCACATCTTGGCGACTCGTCACCAGGTCAATCCCTTACCAGCTTTCCGGATCTTGTTACGTCATACTAATGCACGCCTTTTACGAGTTGACGAGGCCGTCGCGATAAGCCGAATTAGACCAGCTTTGTGTGTCCAAAAGCAATTAGTTGTCAACCTGCGGTTGCCGTGGACCTAATCTGATAACAATGATCACAACAATAAATTTGATTGGTTTGCCTGTGCCCTGTGAGACATATAAAAGAATTTCCCTGTTATTGTATTGGTACTGACGAGATAATACGAAATGCTAGCATCTGCCAGTATTCGTCTTCTCATTTCGTTGTAAAAAAATAGTCGAACTGTAAGGGAATTCAGTCCACGAAGAGCTCTGCTCTGTAAATGGGCATATTGCACAGATGACTACAACAACATACGCTACTAACAATTAGATGTTATTGGTGATTAGTGAGATATATTGAACCTGTGAAGTTTCGTCACAGTTTTACCCAAGTAGACAGCCACCACACATTCAGGAAAACGCTAGACAGCTGGTTTGTCTTATTGAGACTCGTCAAAAGCGCGCAGCCGCCGAATCCTACCGGATTCGTACCCACTAAGACTCTAACGAGCCAGCGACTTAGGATACCTCGCGAGCTTCGTTCGAATAAATCCATAAAGCTCGATGAAGCTGGATTCAACACGCGGTTATAAATTAGGATGGGAGTTGTGACGTCCGTTTACTGGCTTTCAAGTGGTTGTTGTTTTAGTTACCTCGGTTTGATTAACTTATCGGCCCAGATGAAAACGCAACTTGACTAGCTCCGGGCCGATTACAATCAAACTGGATCGAAATTTCTTTGTCCGGTTATCTTTTAGAAGTAATGTCGAAATGGCTCTTTAGAGGATTAGCGTAGCGAGGGAAGGCAATTTCCAACTTACTCCTCTGTTTGGCCCTAACTTATTGGGCCTATTCTCTAATAGGCCGTAGCTCACATAGTACGACAGGAGAGTTGAAGGTACTTTTCAAATGGATGAGCAGTAGCTTAAGCTCTAGAGCCCTAACTTGAAACACAACTAATATTTATCTGAGGATTCGTTGCAACTAGACTCAGGCAGACACCCATCACGCATGCAGGGAAAAGCTAGATGGCTGGCTCGCCCCATTGGGGCTTCTCAGTAATGCGCAGCCGCAGAATCCTATCGAGTTCGAATCCACCACATTACTCTTACGAGCCAGGGACTTATGTCTGACGTCAGCGGTATGCACACACTTAGAATGCGACAACTTCATTTATATAAATTGCAATTAACTAACTCAACCTAGCTGTTCGTCAAATTTAATAAGCTCGTATTTCCTAACCGATTTTGCAAGTCTGCGGAGATCTTGCCGCTCAACGTAATCAGAACCATCCTAACCGATAGTGCAATAGATCTCATCGAGCTATCCAACGATACTTATTGGTACTCCAACCCAGAGCCAAATATAAATTGGTACAGGATGATTATCTGACGATCATAAACAGACCGTTCACTGCTAGTTCGACTAAATACAGGAGATCGAATCGAATCAGTACAGATAGTCGTTGTAACGTCGCTTTATATGAACATGATAGTAAGCCACTCTCGGTCAGCAGCAGTTGTTTCTTTGCTCGTATCCCTTTTGAGCTACGGGTAACTGGGTCCAATCCATTGGCGTAACTGTTCTCATTGTGTCAGAAGCGATTGTTCGGACAGTGCAAACGAGTTGATGTACCTATGGTCGATGCGGATTTTTGTAGTACCGCACTCTGAATTCTACTTTTGCCTTCGTATTACTGTCTTATACGAGTGTTCTGTGTGTATTGTGCCCCAATATGCTGCAGTTGGTGTATTAATTTGGTAGCGATTCCCTGCCTACCAACTGCTGTCTTGGTCCGCCACCA